TGAGGGGTGCGAGTTCTGGGAGGGAGTTTGGTTGCAGGAGGGGGATTCTGATCTGGGGCAGGGGTTGGGGTGCAGGAGGGGGTGTGGGGTGCAGGCTCTGGAAAGGAGTTTGAGTGCAGGAGGGGGCTCAGGACTGGGGAAGGGGCTGGGGTGCAGGAGGGGATGAGGGGTGTGGGCTCCAGCCGGGAGGCGCTTACCTGGGGTGGCTCCCAGACGCACAGCGGGGCTAAGGCAGGCTCCCTGCTTGCCCTGGTCCTGCACTGCTCCCGGAAGCAGACGGCACGTCCCTGCCGTGCTCCACGCACTGCCTGTGCCCACAAGCGCTGCCCCCGCAGCTCCCATTGGCCGCAGTTCCAGGCCAATGGGAGCTGTGGAGTCGGTGCTCGGGGAGGGGGCAGTGCACGGAGATGCACCCCTGCCAGGGGCCGCAGGGATGTGTGGGCCGTTTCTGGGAGCAGTGCAGGGCCAGGGCAGGCAAGGAGCCTGCCTTAGCCCCGCTGCGCCGCCGGACTTTTAGCCCCTAAAATCTCCCGGTTTGGCTGCAGTAGCCTCCAGGAGATGGAGCCCGATTCCGGGAGACTCCCGGCCAAACCGGGACGATTGGCATGACAGGGCTCCCGCTCATTTCCCACCCACGTGCGGAATGAATTTTGTTACATGCCCCAATATGGAGGTGACGTGTGACACGACCCTGTGACACATCACCTCCATATTGGGGCATGCAACAAAATTAATGTGGCGGCGGTGGGGCTGAGGAGTGTGGAGGGTGGGAGGGGCTCAGGGACTGGGGCAGAGGGTTGGGATGCAGGGGGTGAGGGCTCTGGCTGGGGGTGCAGGCCGCGCTGATTAGGGGGAACTCCGGTTGGCAACCCTACATGCGGCCGATACCCCGGTCGGGGCATGTACATGAGCTGTTACAGTACCAGGGCACCCCATGCCCAGCCCCCCACCGGTCCCCAGTACCTGCGGGCACAAAGGGCAGTGTGGCCTGGCTCTGTCCATGGGCGTTGGTGGCAGCGCAGGACACGTTGGCCAGGGCCCGGGCCGGGCCCCGCAGTTCCCCACTCACGGCCGGGCCCCGCGCCCCCGAGGTCGCTCGCAGCTCAGGGCCCTCGAAGTCCCCCGGGAGGGTGCGGTTGGGCAGGCGCCACTCGAGGCGGGGTGGTGGGTTCCCCTCGGCCGTGCAGTGACACGTGGCCGTTCCTCCGGGCCCGCTGCCCCACACCGTGCAGTTCCCCTGTGGCAGCAGCTCCGGGGGGTCTGCAATGGGACACAGGACATGTGGGGCACTGAGCCCAGATCCTCCAGCCGCCCCTGAGCCAGCCAGCGCCCCGCCTGGGGGCCAGCGCCCCCTAGAGGGGAATGGCCTTGTGCCCCCTTCCCTGCCACCCAAGCCTTGGGGTTGATCGGGGCCAGCACCCTCCAAAGGGGAAAAGCCCCATGCCCCATTTCCCGCCACCCTGAGCCAGCCCCCC